GAAGAAACGAAAAAAGAGGATCGGAACTCTATTTTTATCTGTAAATGCGACGTATGTGAAATGTATTTCTCTAATAAGTTTAAATTTGAAATCCACGACTGTGGAAACAAATTATCGGTACCGTAAAGTTTAGATAGAAACGACAGCTTTTATTGTGAGTTTTGAAATGTTGTTACATTCTAGTCTCCCTCGCAGCCGTTTTGTCATGTCACGCAAACGTGCGTGACAGACAAAGAAGACTACAATATTGGACAAAATAAAATGGAACGGCAAACCCCCATTCCCCCCAAATCAAGGATGAAGCCGCGCGAAGGGCAAAAACGCGCCATTTTCCCATCCTTGATTTGGGAGGAAGAGGGAGGGGGGGTTATTTTGTCCAAGATTGTAGATACGTTCACGATTTGCTAACAACCATGATATTTTATAGTTACTTAACGAGGTAGGGTAAGAGGGTCATTACTTTTGGAACTTAACGGCATGAGCTGAGATACACATAAATAACGACGCTTTCCTCCCTACCATCTAACACTGTGCCGCATAACCCGGATGAATGCTAGTACTGCGCCCACCCCACCCCCACACCACAAACACATGCACTGCAAGGACCTGGCAGGCTAAGTAACTCATTGAAAACTTCTCTCGCTAATTTGTACTCTTCTTTTTCCTTTTTTATTTGTTAATTTCATGTAGTAAGAAAATAGAAACCATCAGAGAAAGCAAAAAGATACCAGTCGCATTCTGATTGGTTTAATTATTTTAAAAATTCTTCGATGTATACACACAACCTGAATAAAAATATGACAGTGATTAACTCAAAACACCACATTTAGATATTTTATTTAAAAACATGACATTTTTCTGATAGTCTCTCTCGCCAGATGGAGTTAGTGTTCTTGCTTCTTGTAACTATGAAAGACCTGCAGAAATAGTAGGACAAGCCGTCAACCCTTGAACTGCTATTTAATGTGTAGTTTTCATAAACTAACAAAAAGCTGCGCCTTGCCTTTGTGAGCTATAATCTTAGCTACATTTACTTACTTGCGCTACCCGCGTCACATAGCTTTTGCTAACAGTCTTTCCATTGCTTTTTGTCAAAATCTGATAATAAATTCATGATACCATTCAACGTGCACCAACCTGTACAGAACTGCACCAACATTCACCAAACTGCACCAACCTACACCACACCATACCGAACTGTATTAAACTGGACCAACATGCCACAAATTACACCAAACTACACCAACTTGAACAAACCTGCATATGCATCCAACTGCACCAAACACCAGACTGCAACAACCTGCACTAAACTACACCAAACTACACAAACCTGCACCAAATTACACCAAACTGCACCAACCGACACCAAACTACAACAAGCTGCCCCAAACTGCACCAACTACACCAAACTGTACCTTCACCAACTGCCCCAACCTGCACTAAACTGCAGCAACCTACCTCAAACTACAACAGCCTAAACCAAGATGCACCAAATTGCTCCAAACTACATTAGCCTGCATCAAACTACACCAACACGCACCAAATTGCACAAACCTGCACCAAGCTATGCTATAATAACTACGTCAAACTACACCCACTACATCAAACTACACTAATAATATAAATTTTGACTGGGCATGAATTGTTTTATATTCGTGACGGTTATTATAAATCTTTTACCTAAACAATTTGCAATAACAAATAAATGCTTTGTTGCTTGTTGTTGTATTATATTGGAAAGAGTTGACCGTCGAGTAGCTCAGCGACGTTATAGGATTCTGATACATACCTACAATAACGCTCTAATACTTGTGTGACTCTGTGCCTCCATGACCAAATCCCCCCGGACCGAACTGAGATGCGTAGCAAGGGTTATGACAGTAGGGCTCGCCTTTTCGCTAAAATAGATCAAATATAGCAAACATCTAATAAACTAACCTGTAACAGTTACCTTGGTCCTTTTATAAGTGGTTACAGTTGTTGAATTTTATACCTATCTGCTACTGGTATAAATTGCTTGACATAATTCGCGACTAGAGTTATCTCATAGAACAGTTAAATTGAGTAGAATTTGCTGTACTCCCAACTGTCCGCAATAATTCTAGAACCACTCGATTGTATCTGGCAATATAATAAAGTTCGTTCGGCCGCCAAAGTGTAAGGTCGAGTAAGGGCATTTACCATGGTAAGAACTGGCCGGCCAAACCAGAACAGATCTGTCCAGCCAGATTATTTTATTTCTAAAGCTACGTGCAAACAAACGCAACAATGTGGGAAGTTATTGCGTCCGTGTTGGCAGAGGTGTGTAAAATGCGCGTGTGTGGCCCTAACAATCTTGGACGAGCTGTGCAACGGATCCAACATTGTTGCGCTACGCTTCGGCCATCACGGAATAAGAAATGTGTTAGGAGTTGTACGTTGGCTCAAAAGTTTGACCTTAACTTTGCGCAACAACGTGCAACAGGATTTGCAAACAGACGCAACATGTATCATCCGAACAATGTTGTGTCCGTTTGCAAGGGGCTTAAATAGTATGCATAACAATGTTGAGTGTTGCAAAAACTCTGGAAAAAAGGTATTTCATTTTCAAGATGACCTGTCTGGCCGGCCAGTCCTAACTACCATGTAACATTTTTTTTTTAAGTAAGAGCCTCTGAAGTATGAAATTTTCTACAGGTGAGCGCCTTTTTAATGAGTCAAGTTCACCTACTACTCTCATAATTCTCAATGCCAATTCCGAATTCTTTAAGAAAATTGGCAGAAGAGAAAGAAATTAAAAATGTCTCCCCCAAAAACAATTCGAAACGAAACAGAGAACAAGTCGGTGGACCGATTACTGCCCTTGTCTACTGCCCGGGGGGTGCTTATCGTAATTCTAAAGAAAGCAGAAGACGAAAAGGAGAGGGGGTAAAACGTTTAAGTTTTAGTTTCTTTCAGCGCATTTCAAAAGCTCTCCTTTGGCTGTTTGTTCTACAATGGTCTCCTTTAGAGATCTGAGCAGTCCAAGTTTTCGGTGAGCATCCCTAACCCTCTAACCCTTTACACGGGAGCCCTCGCCCTGAGGAGGCTACTGTCATCAGGCTCCAGCCTCGTTCCCAGTCGTCCTCGGCGATTTCGGATGTGACGTCACCTGTCAAGCTTGTCGGGAAAATTCGCTATCGCGCTTGGTTCCAAGCCTCCTCTGTTCACTCGGATAGCGCGAACAGGCCTGGGTACAAGGATGATCAGGCTCCTGTTGTCAGTATAGGCTCCTGTGAAAATCATATTTCGGGTCCGAGCTACATCAGTGTCAAAAGCAAGGGATGTTAAAATTTTCTGCAATGTGACAGCTGTTTGGAGACGATACTTAACAAGACTATCTAAACTTCCTTTTAGTGCTGTCAATTTCGTAGGGAATAAGGCCTTACGAACCACCCATTGTGAACAAGTCACTAGGTATCGTTATCAGCTTTTTTTGTTTTTGTCTTTCTGTTTGTTTGTTTTTGTTTAGTTTTAAATTGCGTTCAGGAACAAGAGCCACGGAATAACACAAACCTAAAATAAAATGAATCAGTTATTCAGCCGTTTGTAAAGATCAGTCAATAGATGATTGTAATTTGACGAATTGAAAAATTCGAGCCTTCCACTTCTTATGATGTCAGATTCGAGTCACGCCACTTATTCTCAAACTACATGACCCACTGTATATATTAAAACACTATCGCTCACGACATGTGCACGTTCCATGAACTTTAGACGTTAATTCGAATTAAAAGTGCAAAAATTAAAAAGCTTACTTCCGCGTGGTTGCCCACTGCCAGTTGCCGTCCACATTTTCTGCACTTAAGACACAAAGGATGGTACCAATTTCCAAGCGATTCTTTTTTTTCACCTGTCAGAATAACACGAGGATGACAGATCGCATCCATTTCTTTGATTTTCGCAATTATACAAGTAGATAAAAAACCTAGGGCACAATCGCTGGACAACATGAAACAAGAAAGCAACAACTGAATCATCCGTCAATTATAAAAGCAAACTTCGTGCCAAGTTTTCAGTGTACCTTATGGACCTTATGTAAAAGTTACCCCAAAAAAATCAGCAACGGTTGAAAGAAATAAACCTTCGATCAACGGCTGTCAAAGTCGTGAGGTAACGAGTGCAGATCACAAAGTGTTAGCCCATCAATTTCTTACCCATATAAACAGTTTTGTCGCATGTTGGGCACTTTCTAGACATATCGGAGTTTCTTGCTTTCAAAATCAGACTGATCTTCGCTGTTGAACTAAAAAAAGTAAAGATCGCTTGACGTTGTTGTTTTCAGTAAACACCTGCTTACAAGAAGGAGCAGGGCGATTTAAATATATGGATATGTGCATTAATTGAGCGTGTGCTATTGGACACGGGGAAACACTTCAGGGATCAGTTTTGAATGAGCGTCATCTTTTACCCAGATCAAGTCCTGTTTTTTTTTTTTTTTAAGAATTCAATCAAAATAGTACGTGACTGATACCGTTTCCATCTAGGTTTGACTACTCTACCAGGTAAACTAAAAAAACATAATTCGTTTGTTTCTCCTTTCACGGAACAGATATGCAGTATTGAATAGGTTATACTCAAGAAATATTTACGGTGGAAATAAAGCGTGCATTCAACTGTACGTCTCCTCAATCTTTTTTTTTTCCAATTTCTTATTTGTTACAGAAACATCAGAAAAGAATTGGCATTTCGTTTTCTTTCTTGAGCTTTAACTTAATCATTTAAGAAATAGGAAATTTGAAATTTTACAATATAGAGCACACATGGCTACTTTCTGTAAACAATTAGCATATGAGACAAAGCATCTTTAGCAGGGGTTTCAGAAAACTGAGTACTGTGCAGATAGAAAACAAAATTCAAAGGAAAGAGCGCAAATTTAAAAGTCACAATAAATCTTGCTGACGACAGAAGGGCAACAACAAATAATTTTTGAATTTTTAAAGCCTTACGGTTTTTCAGCCGAAGGGCTTAAGCTAAAAGTGTTTTTTTTTTTTCTGACAATTTGATTCAACGAAATAAAACTCTTTGCTTTCAATTATGTGGCCAGCATACATATTGTCTACAATTTGACAAGATGTCATAAATTACCCTCAATATTTCGGATATTTTTTCTGGAGCTTTTTGCTAAAACAATCAAAAATACTACAGCAGAAA